CCCCTGGCAGGGCCTAAAGGGGCTCCAGGAGAGCTGCCCAGGGACTGGGGACAAGGCCTGCAGGGACAGGACAAGGGGGAATGATTTTAAATTAAAACAGGGGAGATTTAGCTTACATATAAGGAAGGAAGTCTTGTCTGTGAGGCTGTGGTAGAGGTTTCCCAGAGCAGCTGTGGCTGCCCCATCCCTGGAAGTGTCCAAGGCCAGGCTGGACAGCCCTGGGATAGTGGAAGATGATCTGGGATAGTGAAAAGTCTCTCTGCCCATGGCAGGGGGTGGAATGAGATGAGCTTTTAGGTTCCTTCCCAGCCAAACCAATCCCTAATTACCTGATTCAAGATTTGCAGGTGTCTATTCCTTTCACAACCACTTTTTTGTTTGTTTGCTTGTTTGTTCATTTGGTTGGGGTTTTTTGTGTTGTTTTTGTTGTTGTTGTGGGTTTTTTGTTTGGTTGGTTTTTTGTTGTTGTTTTAGACCATGTAATACCTTCTATAATGCCCCTCCATTAGGCCCAGACAAAGGCAGTGATGCTTAGGCTTTGCTAGTAGGCTTTCACACAGCAGCCTGTGTGGATGCTGGTGCTGAAGGTCACCCCAAAGGCTCTGGCTGCCGTGGGAAGAGCTGCCGGCAGAGAGAGCCAGAGCTCTCTGCAGGGCTGCACTCAGCTTCGCGCTGCCAGGACAGAAGGAAAACAGCTTTCCTTGCTCAAGAACCTTCGTCTAAGGGCATTTAGAGCCACTGGTATTTTTGCCGTCTTCCTGACAGTGTTCCTCTCTGCAAAGCAGCCTTTCCTGCAGCCAGGCATCCCTCCCTGCTGCTGCTGCAGGCTCCAGCTCCGACAGACAGCCTCTCCGAGCCACCCATAAACAAGCTCCCACCGGAAGATGGTGCCCATATTCCACCAAACAGGGGGCAAGCCCTTCACAGCACAGTCCACTTTGGGGCAATACCGAAAAGAAACCCAGCCACACTATATCAAGATCACCAGAGCAAATCCCACATCTGATGCCAGGCTCCTCCAGGCAGCAGGGATGCAATTTTGAGAGTGTAACCTGCAGTGTAACTCACCAGTGTAACTCACAAATACACTGCAGTGTATTTGTGTATTTTCTCTTTAAGGTTTATGTGGTAATGACTTTTTAATGAGCAAAGCCCCATAACTGTAATTGAGAGATTAATAAACCCTTATTCCTCCTGAATATTCACCTGCTGAGGTGCACACAGCCCTGAGCTGGTGCTCTTGTCCTTGTCAAAAGCCACATGTGGATGCTGATTTCTGTGCAGTGCTTTGATGTTACCCCAGGTTGCTTTTGATGGCCCATCAAAGGCAGATATGGAATGAGGAGCATCATAGATTCCTGATGATATACAAAAGCACCAACTCACAACATCAGAAAGGACACACACTTCAGCCTCTCCTCTCGTGTTTTCTCGTCCCCTACTCTCTGCTGCCGTCCTGGCAATTTGCATTGCTTGTCTCCAGCTCACTGCTGGACAAACTTCAGCAGGCTCCCCTCTTAGCACCTGCCACAGCAGCTACACTCACCCAAGCATGGTCAGCACACAGGTGCCACTCAGTTTTTTGGCAGATGCCATGTGTCATGTCCAACCAGCAGCTTGTCACAGGCTGCATTAGGAGCTAGAGTGAGGGTGGAGTGCTGCAAGGCACCATGCCACAAATCTCTTTCCCCCTGCAGCTCTGTGTGCCACAGCCCCACAACAGCAGCAGGGCACTGCCTGGTCCCCACCCCTGAGAGGAGACACCACTGCAGCACACACCCCTCCCAGCTGTGGATCCAGCAGATCCCTTCTCCATAAACATCCCATTTTTAAAAAAAGATATCACCACTGGGTTCTGCAGGTTGTCAGAGACCAGGCCAAAAGGGTTTTTTCTAACACATTGTCTCTGTGATTTACAGTTGCCCTTCGCCATTACCCAAAAGAGGATGGAGCTCGGCGAGATCGTTGTGACTAAACATCCCAATGAGAGGGAGCTGTACAAGAAGGAGATGCCAAGAGCTCAGGACCTGCTGTGGAGAAGTGGAAATTGGATCCTCCATGGTTTTGGGTATCTCACAGGAGAAATGAAAGAATATGGAGAGTGGATGAAAAGTAAGAAGGAGGGTCTGTTTGGGGATATCCATATTGCCAGCGGTACCTCCAGTGAAGTGTGTTTCACCCCCTGAAGCAGAGCAGAAGCAGCACAGTCCAAGCTCACTGCAAACTCTGGCCTTTTAAGTATCTCACTCTCAGGAAGACAATCTCACTGCATTCTCTGGCCATCACTATGGCAGCAGGCAAAATTCAGCACGGTCCTAAGATGTCTTTCACACTTAATCAGTTACATGTCATTAGCATCACATCTGACATAGCAGTGCCCAGAAGCACTGAGAGAGTGTCACAATGCCAAAAAACAGAAGCCAAGACTGATCTCAAAGGTTCACTGTCCAGACAGGAGCAATGCATGAGCAGACAGTCCAAGCTACCTGTAATTACTGGGGATGAGGATTTGAGAAGCTATATAAAACTGTGAGTACTCTGTCAAGACTAGGGTTGTTAGCAGTACTCCTCCAGCAATGGGAGAGAAATAGGAGACATCCATTTACAGCCAGGCCAGTGTGATCCCCAGACACAGGAATATCTCCTCCTGTTTTCTCTTTACTCCAGTGGTCCATGCTTTGTAGACAGCTTTTCTTACTCGGTGTTCTGGAAAGCTTTGGCCACTGTCCTCTGGTTATATTTGACTTTTTACAGCTAATGCTTGTGTCTGAAACTAAGTGTATTGCTGATACATAGCTCAACACCAAATACTAATTAAAATTATTTCAGACAAGCCTGTTCATTTTCCTCTAAGGAGCCCCTTCCTCCTCCTCCTCCTCCTTCTAGCTCCTCCTCCTTAACCCTGCTTGGAAGGAGTTCTTAGGAATAAGCCATTGCCCATATTCAGAAAATACTCTGGAACCTTACACTGCATCTAATGAACAATCAAATTAAGATGATTAATTTCAAATTTTGAAGACAATAAAAGCTGAATATACACATTGCATGAACATCTGAACATCTTGTACACACAAGCAGTTTCCCTCTCCCATCCATTCTCCTTGCATCATCCTTTAATAGCACAAAGCAGTTCAGAAATGGTTGCACTTTTCCCAGAAGAGAGGCAGAAGAAAAACTCAAGTCAATTTGCAGGAGGAGAACCAGCAGCAAAAAGTTATTGCAGTGCCCTCATCCCACCTTCTCCCTGCACTCACTTGAGGTATCTGTGCTTGGTGTCTGTTTACTCTGCCCAGGTTCAATAACCCTCTCTAATAACTTCTTGTCCTCTAGAAATGCCTCTTTGCCCTGAGTCCAAGCTATAATTACTGTTTTCTAATTTAGGTTCTTTAGCTCTCAAAATACTTTTTAGAAACCTTTGACCCCATCTCCTATATACACCATACCACCATGTTCAGGGTTGCTGATTTTCTTCCTACAGTAGAAAAATTGCTTCCTTTTCATATTTCCCTACATGCGTACAAAGTATTTTCAGAGTCCCCCTCTGCATTTGAATTAGAAACCAAAAAGAGTTTGTCTCCTTATTGAATTTATAGCAGAATCTAAAGTGATCTACCATGCAAGTAATCCTCTGACCACCATAAATAAGTTACTTGTTTGTCTGTCCCTCCATGAATTTTTTAGCAGTGCCCAGTCCATCTATATTAGTTCTCAAGTGACAGATGCAAAATATGCAGAGACAACAATCAGTCAGAGACTTATTTTACAGAACTGTTAATATTTCACCTCTGTTCTGTGCCCAGAAAGGGGCTGCAGAGATTGTGCTTTGCTGAAATGATGTCTTTTCAACAGTGTTTTCCCTTGATCTCCTCCAGACAAACCCTTAATGGTTCAGCTGGTGGACTGGATCTTGCGAGGGACTTCTCAGGTGATGTTTGTCAACAATCCTCTCAGTGGACTGATCATTTTAGTGGGGCTTTTCATCCAGAGCCCCTGGTGGATGCTCACAGGCTGTACTGGAACCACTGTGTCCACGTTAACTGCGCTGGCCCTCAGTCAGGACAGGTAGGTGGCACCTCGTGTCCTCATGCACTTCATAAAAATTGATGGTGATGATATTATTTGGAGCCCTCTGATGGGTCATTGCCTCCTGTTAGAGACAGAAGGCTCAGGTGAAGACAGAGCTATGGCCCAACAAGAGCTGGCCTGTCCCTGTGGCTGTCTGTCCTCCTGAAGACAGTTCTTTCTCCCTCACATTAAATTAATCCACCAACACCAGAGGTTTATGTCCAAAAAAGAGACAGAGGGGTCCTTTTACTTTATTTGAATAAAGGGAGAGGCCATGGGGCGTTCCTCTGGGGTCTCTCAAATTTTTGGAGGATGCAGCCTCCTTTCTATCCTAATTTCCTGGCTGTATGTCCCTCTCTCTTTTCCTTGGCTGAGGTACTTGAGAGGTACAGACTTCCTGGAATGCCTGATACCTAAGATTCCTCTCTAATGTATAACCCTCCCTTTTAATTTTTAATTCTTATGGAATTTATGGTTTTTCCCCATTGTTTCTTTCATCTTTTAATATCCAGTTTCATTTATCAGCACACCTACAGTTTGTAAAGGCAAATACTGTTTTTTCCATTCGTCGATCAGTGAGTGGAGTCCTTCGCATTGTTTCTTTTATCTTTCTGTGCTAGTTTTATCTACCAGCAGACCCACAGCTTGTTTGCAAAGACAAATCCATAATTCATCTCACAACCACGTAGGTCCTTTGAGTCACAAGGATCCCTCTCCATCATCCCTCAGCCACCAAACTTCCCCCTTCCACAGGTGGTGCAAGGCTGTACATCAGTAATCTCACTTTTCATCCCTTCACTGGGGGCAGGACACTCACAAACCACATTTCAGTGGGTCCCAGAGATGGGTCCCACCTGCAGCAAAGCTTTCTACCTCGCACTTGTTTCCATCACAGGCCGTCCATCGCAGCCGGGCTGCACGGCTACAACGGGATCCTGGTGGGCCTGCTCATGGCTGTCTACTCTGACAAAGGGGATTACTACTGGTGGCTTCTCCCCCCTGTGGCAGTGATATCCATGGCCTGGTAAGTGCCACTGATCCTCCTAGGGACAATTCCCAAAGGGTGGGTCTGGCTACGAACAGCTCAGGCACACTGAGGCCTCCTCTGCCCTACACCAGTAACTCCAGACTGGATGGCACCGGAGGGTTGTGTTCATCACACAGAGCTCATGGTAGGAGTGAAGGGCACAAAAACACTGATTATACCACACAGGCAAAGCAGTCCCACCCCAATCCTCCAAAAACAGCCCTCAGCAGCAGGACACACACGGGTGGGAGGTCACTGCACCCAACACCACAACGCTTCTTCCTCATCCACGAATCAACCCTGCACTCATCCCAGGGCTGAATTCAATATTCCCCTTGTCAGATGTGCAACCAGTCATGAGCAAAAATTAATTCCTCCAAGTAGCTCCAATGGACAGACTATGTCCTTCCAGGATTAAATTTTGCCATTTTTGAATATGGATCTGAACAGCACTGCAGAATCTGTTTAACAGCCTTAACTGAAATTAATTTAATAGTCGCATTTTAATCACTGTAAGCAGTAAGATGCAAGCTATTATTGGATTTTCACTGCTTTTAAGATTAGATTTGTTTTACATTTTATTTCTTAAGTCATTCTCAGTAAAGGTCATCTTATAACAACCTCTCAAAACCCAGGAGATGTTGCAAGAACGTTTAGTTTGTCTTATCTGCCAGAATTCCTTGAGGTCTTTTGTTCAAAATTTTCTTCATTGTTTAGATCACAAGTCTTGAGGCTAGAGCTGAAATATTTTAAAATCAGACACTTCAGTGATTTTTTTAACTGATACTTTTACTTTCAGCTTTAGAAGTCAGCATTTATTTAACTGTTTCCTTTTTTCCTGACAAGATGTGTAAGTGACAGAAGCTTTATATTTCAGCACAGAAATTAGGACACCATTTTCACTGAAGTACTGATTTTTTTATTTTTTTTTCTAACAGCTGCAAGCAAGGAAGTCTGTAAACTCCTTTGGGAACCAATCTTGTCAAAAAAAGAATAGGCTTCATCTGAGATTACACAGGGAGAGCAAAGCATTTTTCCCACTGATAGTATCTATACAGCAGGACACAAGATGTTGCTTTTGAAGTGTCAAATAATTTGGATGGGGTCATTTTTTATTTTAAACGGCTTAATGATCTTCTAGGGCTCAAATGCAGTTCCTTGAAAAATTAAAGTCTTTAAAATGTTTTTTTATAAACTATGTAATGTTCACTGCTACTTGGAGTGGACTATAGGAGCTTTTCAGCTCACCTGTAGCAGAAGAACACTTCTGGAAGGAGAACACGAGCCATTTGCACCAATGACTGCCCATTTCTTCTCTTCCTTGAGCTTTCTGGGGCCCATAAAAACCAGATATTACCTTGCCAATATGGAGGACACATACTTCAAGTGGAAATCAGGCAGTCTGGAAATATCCTGAGGAGAGCAGATCAAACAAAGATTATAACTCAGGTTCTACAGACAAGAACAGATTTTGAAGGTTTGCATGTCTTTTGTGCTCTGCTCTCGGCTGAGTCTCTACCCAAAAACTTTACATGCTAAAAATATTAAATCAAGCTATAATCAAGCTATTTAAAAACAAGTCTCAGCTTTCAGTATACTGTATGATTTTGTATGGTACCTGGGCAAAACAAAATTACATCAAAGTCTGAGTGAAGTCTGGTACCAACACCTTTCCTAGCTCTGCTACAGTGGTGGCTCTTTCTTTACAGTCTGTTGGGTCTCACAGTCCTCAAAAAGTGTCTAACATAGCAAATATTTCCATCTTTCTTAACTGAAGACCTTTCTACCCTTTTTGATCACTTCTTCTTCTTTATTTCTCTTTCAGAGCCATCTCCTGATATCTTTCAAAATCTTTAAACAAGAACAAAACAAAACAAAAAACAAAAACAAACAACAAAAAAAAATACAGGCAAAAAAGAAAAAAGGCAAATTGGGTAATTTCCAGCTCCCTCCTGCCTCCTCAAGAAAGACAGCAGCTTTTCTGGACCATTTAAAGTTCTCCACAGTTCATGTGACATTCCCAAAATTTCATTTTCTGTTTCTTGTTCAAATTTTAAACTGAATAATAAGTCAGGTTGCCTGTCTCTGCCCATGCCCAAATGCTGTATTGGGTGCATACATGGATGTGGGATTATTTTTTTCAGAAATATGAACAGCTTTTGACAACTCTTTGTTTGATGCAGATGAAGATACTGAAGTATTCACCACTTGGCATTGCTACAAGGAACTGTATTTGCCCTTATTTGCTAAAATTACCCTTTTGTGACCAAAGAGGAAGGCTGTCTCACCCCTATAAATTGTGATGTTTTAACAGTATTTAATTGTGAAGTTATAATTGTATTTGTTCTCCTGTTCTCAGCCCAGTTCTGTCCAGTGCTTTGGGATCCATCTTCAGCAAATGGGACCTTCCTGTTTTCACTCTGCCCTTCAACATTGCGGTCACCCTGTACCTGGCAGCCACAGGACACTACAACCCCTTCTTCCCCACAACCCTCATCAAGCCCATAGCTGCAGTGCCCAATATCACCTGGTCTGACATCAATGTGCCTCTGGTAAGCTTCACTACATCAAGTTTGTGCTATTTCACTGCAAAGGTGAGCATGAGGTTCACCTCTGGGTGACACTTTCACCTGGGTCAGAACGACTCAGGAGCAACTCTCAGAAGTACAGGGGCTGGTTCAGTGCAAGCACAGCAGTGCCACAGAATCCCCAGGGACAGTCCTGGCTGATCCAGGCTGGTGGACCCTGAGGGAGCAGGGAACCTGAGCTTCATTCCGCTCAAACTTGGGTTGTCCCAAAAATAGTCTTGAGTGTACATCCAGCACACATCTGGATATGGCCTCCTGCTGTCCAGAAATGGGTAAAAATACCATCAGCAACACAGTCAGTGGCAATGTGAAAATTTAGAGGAAAGACCAGGATTTCAAAGTGACAGAAACTCATTTATACCCAGTCCCCTCACATCTAGCTCTAGGTCTGGAGAGTCACCTTCCCAAAGGAGAATAGGGTAACTGATCCAGAGGGTTGTGGTCAATGGCTCAGGGTCCCAGTGGACATCAGGGACAGGTGGTGTCCCTCAGGGGTCCATATGGGCACCAGAGTCACTGAATATCTTCATTAATGACACAGACAGAGGCATCAAGGGCAGCCTCAGGGAATCTGCAGATGGCACCAAGCTGAGAGGTGCAGCTGACACACCTGGAGCATGGGATGACATCCAGAGGGACCTGGGCAGGCTGGAGAAGTGGAACCTCTCAGGTTTAACAAGGCCAAGTGCTGGAGCTGCAGCTGGGTCAGGGCAGCCCCTGGGATCAATCCAGGCTGGGGATGAGCAGAGGGAGCAGCCCTGGGAGAAGGACCTGGGGGTGCTGGGGGTGAGAGCTGGACCTTCCCCAGCCCTGAACCCCCTGCCCTGGGCTGATCCCCCAGCGTGGGCAGCAGGGGAGGGGGGATTGTGCCCCTGTGCCCCTGTGCTCAGGTGAGACCCCACCTGCAGAGCTGCCCCAGCCCTGGGCAACAACAGCACAAGGACGTGGAGCTGCTGGAGCCAGCCCAGGCTCCAGCCTGGGTGATGAGAGGGATGGAGCACATCTTTTATAATAAAAGGCTTGGGGAACTGAATTTATTCAGCCTGGAAAAGGAGAAGGCTTTGGGGTGACCTAACTAAGGCCTTCCAATATCAGGAGAGATTGTGTAGGAAAGATGGAGGGAGACTACTCAGCAGAGCCTGGAGGGACACTTGAAGCCATTCCCCACAAGGAGAAATGTCTTCAATTTGAAAGAGAGTAGGTTTAGATTAGATACTAGAGCAAAAAAACTCTTCTCTGTGAGAGTGGTGAGGCCCTGGCACAGGTTTCCCAGAGAAGCTGTGGCTGCCCCTGGATCCCTGCAGTGTCCAAGGCCAGGCTGGACAGGGCTTGGAGCAGCCTGGGACAGTGAAAGGTGTCCATGACCATGGCAGGGGGTGGAACAAGGTGATCTTTAAGCTCCCTTCCAACTCAAACCATTCTGGGATTCTATGAGGTTCTCAGAGTCCAGGTCAGAGCCAGGGTTTCTTCCTTCCCTTTTCAGCAAATAGCTTGTACAAAATATCTGCTGTCCTGTTGGAAGATCCCAGCTCTACAGAGATGGGGCAACTGGGAGGTGCTTTAAAAGATTTTATTCCATTATCAGTCTCATAGAAGGGTGAAACATAAAAATTCTATTCTATCAGAAGTGAGCCTATTTCCTGGTTACAATACCTTATATTTGTTTTCCAGTCTATTAGATTTTGCCACAGGATGCTGCTAATACTTCTAATGCCAATCACCTATTATTTTACCCCACCTGGCATTGCTACAATGCATCTTTCACAATTCTGATTCTCCAACATATCTGGTCTGTTTGCAAGGCCATCATTTGAAACCTGTTTCCAGTTCAGTCTCTCTCTCAACAACATCTTCTCTGTTCCATGGCCTGGCTAAGTCAGCACACCTTATCTCAGAGTTTGCATACAGATGTACAAGACTATGTGAGCTTTCAGTCAGGCTTTGAGAACCCTCTGCAGTTCCATTTCTCACAGTGTGCCTCAGGGCACAGACACACAATAAATAACAAGCCCTTTTCTGCCATTTCTGCCATTTCTGCAGCTCTTACAGTCCATCCCAGTTGGAATTGGTCAGGTGTATGGTTGTGGGAACCCCTGGACTGGCGGCATTTTCCTTGTGGCTCTGCTCATCTCCTCCCCACTGATTTGTCTACATGCTGCAATTGGATCAGCTGTGGGGATGTTTGCAGGTAAGGAATACTGACCAAATCATTTTTGCAACCAAGGTCTCCTGATCCAAGCCAGATTCTGTCCAGACTTTAAAGTTGTATGGGTTTGGTGGTAGCTGGGACAGCGCTCTCATTTTTCAAACTGTCTCTAATTTTTTCTAATTTTGTCTCTTAGTAAAGGTCATACAACATGGTGCAGGCAAGAAGAAAAGCAGGTTTTCTTTAAATTTTGCATTTTTTGTTGTCAGCCAGATGGTTTTTCCATTTTACTTAACCCTCTAGCCACTGGATGTGGTAAATCCCATGGAGATCATAAGGAAACCTGGAGAAATACTTTCAGAACTGATTTCTTTCCACAACAATTGCTTTAAATGATGGCCACAAGCAAAGGCCTACCTCAGAATCAATCAGCCAAGGAAGGGGAACAGACTTATCTGGGATGCAGTTTGCTCAGTCCTGCTGTGGATTTGTCAAAATACCAAAATGAATGCAACTAAAAATGTCCTGTCTCTCCACTAATCAGAGAGAAACAACATTTAGAAACACAAAGCAGACCCAAGAGGTTAGACAAAATTAATGCCACTTAAGTGACCAATTTTAATAAATATGGATGATGGAATAAGTGTAGTCTGATTCCTTGGAAAACTCAGTAATCCAACAAGTTCTCTGTGCTCTGAAGCACTTTGAATAAGATGTCGCTGTCCTATACTCATGTTTTCAAATAAAACTGCCCACGATTTGTATGGCTAAGAGCATTTGGCAGGTCTTGTACAGGCATGAGGGTCGGTCTAGAAGGGAAAGGACAGGGGAAAGTTTCTGGGGACAAGCATGGTGATGAAACAGAGGAGAGATGAGGACAATATAGCAGTAAATGCATTAATATTACAAGTGTCAGGAAAGTGACCTGTGCACTACATATTGAGCTCTCCTTTTCACTGGTATGCCTGAAGCCTGTGAGAAATCCTACAGAAGTTTCTGAGAGGCCAGATTTGGGACAGACACCCCCAGCTCCCATCCCAGTGGAGAATTTCCACTGCTCAGGGGAAGTTGACTGCCTGTAATAACTAGACCATATCTCACAAAGGTCACTAGGAAAAAATGGAAAACTCTGCTTGCTCCCATAAAAGACACACAGTTGTGTCTCTGATATTCAAAATTAGGGTATGTGTGAGGTTTAAACAGTGTGTGGGCACAGCTTTCTGCACAGAGGACACCCAGGTGAGAAGGTTCACCCATACTCAGGCTGAATCCTCCACCTGTGTGTGTGGATACAACCCACTCAGTGAAAACACAGGAGGTTTTATCTGAATTAAACCTTTTAGACTGGGCCAAATTCCACCACAGGGACATTACCAGAGCTCCAAAATAATGAGCCTCCTTTGACATCCTCCTCTTTCTTGCTTGCGCATGTGCAAGGACAAACCCACCTTGATGTTATGAGGAAGGGATGACAGATTCCTCCTGCAGGCTCCTCTCCTACCTGACCTCACAGCCTTGCCCTTTGTCTCGCAGCCCTGAGCATTGCATCCCCATTTGACAGCATCTACCTTGGCTTACACAACTACAACTGTGCCCTGGCCTGCATCGCCATCGGGGGCATGTTCTACGCCCTGACCTGGCAGACACATTTGCTGTCGCTTGCCTGTGGTGAGTACCTTTCACAGAAAGGGGAGGCAAATGTTTCTGCAGGTGTGCAGCTTATGAGGAGCACAGGTTTAGAGCCAGCCATCACTCTGTCTGTCCCAAAACCAGCTACTGTTTCTCTGGTGGCATCAGCATTGGGCTGTACAGTGTGAGTACAGCAAGAATAGCGTTAGACCCTGACAAGGTGGAAACGTCTCCAAGGGGTGGAAGTTCTGTTTGTGAAATGAGCACAAGTTGAGCCATGAGCATGTTTAACAAGTCAGCAACTCAACACCTTCACAGAAGCAGCCTTTTCATAATTACATGTATCACTGGGGGAAATGTGCCATAAGAAGGAAGCTGTTGCACCAGGTCAGTTTAAAATCCACCTACCCAAAGACCCCACATCCAACAGCAGCCAAGACCAGGCACTATGTGAAGTTTAAGAAAAGAAATTTCCCATTTAAGACATTCCTGTGAAGATATGCCCAGGTTCCAATTATCTTTATCTCAGTGTCCTGAGCACAGTTTCTGGATTTCTCAGTAGCTTTTCCTTCTTTGATTCAGCCCTTGGGTGCCTGACCTTGCCTCCTGTTGTGCCATCCCTGGCATCCTGGGGCAAGGAGACTCCTTGGGAACTGGTTGTGGTGTGAAGCCACAGGGCAGAGAAATTCTGAAGTCCAGCACTGCTGGAGAGTTTCTGCAATTCCCACTGCATGTGGATCAGAATAAAAACAAATTAAATAGAAAGAAATTAAAGATAAAAGAAATGCCACCATCGCTTCTCCTTGACAAAACCATGTTCTTCATTCTCCATCCATCTATACAGAGCAGATAGGACAAAATGTAGTCACAAAATCATTTGTGTTGGGAAATACGTCCAAGATCATCATGCCCAACCATGCCCCCAGCTCTGCCAAGGCCACCACTGACCCCTGCCCCCAGGTGCCACATTCACACAGCTGCTGATCCCTCCAGGGATGGGAGCACCACCACTGCCCTGGGCAGGTCCTGCCAGGGCTGGACAACCCTTTCTGTGAAGAAATTTTTCCATAATATTCAACCTAAATCTCCCCTGGTGAATTTGAGGCCATTTTCTCTTGGAACATTTCAACAAATTGTTGAATTCTAGCAGTGATCCTCACAGTAGGTAGCTGGGAGGATATTTGGACATGCATTTGGACAATGTTGCTATTTTTTATATTTTCTTTGGAGAATTGAACAATATTTTCCTCATCCTGGGCTTTCTTTGGTCTTCTCAGCATTATTTTGTGCCTACTCTGGAGCAGCTCTTGCTAATGCCCTCTCTGTGGTAAGTGTGGTGTTTTTTGTTTTACCTGAGTTTTTTATTTATTTTTTTTTAACTGCATCTTGATTTGTTCAGATATAATGTTAAGGAAATGCCTCAAAATTCTCCATGTCAGCTTTGACAACACTGAAATGAGAATGCTGCAGCCAGCTGGCAGGTCATGCACAGATCCTGTGTCAGCTGAATTGTGCTCCTGAAGACTTTATATCTAATAATAAGATTTCAAAGACCTTTGGAGCATGTTATCCACAATAGGGTTATGCATGTATATGTGAGTTACAGCAACAGCATATGGTTTGAGATTAAATACTTAGTTGAACATTATCTTTCAGCAATTCCAAATTATCTAAATTTTCATTTTCTTCTTTCAAGGTCTAACTCCTTCCCTGCCCACAGGTATTATTGAAGTTTGAACTGGGTATGAGAATTAAATGAGTGGGAGACTGTTCTCTTAAGTACAAAGTTATTACATTTGGACAAATCAAGAAAGGAGTGAAGACAGAAATGCCAGGCTCTGTTTCTTCTTTAAGATCTGAGAGATTAAAGCAAAGCCATATTTTAATTAAATTGATTTACTAACTTAAAAGAGAATAGATGAGAAGTAGCAGTTTCATACACTGAATGTTTTCATCTGGCATCCTCTCAGTACTATGTAGGTCCTGACATATGTGCTGCTTTACACACACCTGCTTTTGGGAGGCATCAGGAAGAAGGACATCCACTTTTTATCCCTGTGATCATACTTTTGGAAGGCCTCAATTCAGGTCCAGAGGTGGGGGAACAGAGAGGGCTGAGGGTTGGATGTGATGCCAGTGTCATATAGCCATTGGGGAGAGTGAACATGAGTGACCAATACTCCCCATACATGATATTTTACCCAGCAGAGAGGGTAGAATTTGGCTTCTTTTATTAGAGAATTCAACTGTCTACATGTGAGCTGGGTGTCTTGGTTTTTTCACTGCAGCCACCAGAGCTATGGAGCTTGACTCAGCTGCTTCAATTCTAGTGCCAAGCTCCGTTCAGCACCAGTGTTGGTGGTGTATATATGATAAATGCCTCTGACAGGACTGAGGTCTGCAGTGTCAGAATGACGCTCCAGGTGAAAAACAGACCTCTGTGTGGGCAGCTGAATCCACACTAGGCAGCCACTCTCTCCTCAGGGAAAACTGAGGCCCTCCCAGCTTCCCAAATGGAAGAATTTAGCCAGAGGCAGGCATAAGTGGGGAGACCAAAAAGCGGTACCAAAGTGCACGCCTGTGTCTGTTCTGTCCCGTCCAGCTCGGGCTGCCGGTGTGCACCTGGCCCTTCTGCCTCTCCGCGCTCCTCTTCCTGCTGATAACCTCAGAAAACCCCGCCATCTACAAAATGCCCCTCTGCAAAGTCACACACCCAGAAGCCAACCGGATCTACTACCTGAGGATGAAGAGAAGGGCCGCGGAGAGCAGGAGGGAGGAGCAGAAGAGAAAGGAGCAGAAACCCTCTGACAGCTCAAAAATGAGCCCTGGGGGCACCCCACTGTGCACCCCCAAGAGCCGCCACGCTCACTGATTTCAGGCACACGCAGCTCTGCAGTTTGGGGGCAGCTTTTCCAGCTTCACCCAGGCACAGCACAGCCACAAACACCACTTTTGCCAGCAGTCTGAGGGCTGGAGATTCAGCATTCCACGCTGGAGGAATCACGGTTTGCCCTTGAGCTAAGCTTTCCAAAAAGCACTCAGGTAACATAATAACAGCTGCCTTATCAATCCACTGGCTGTTAACTTGAAAGTCGCTTCTTATCAATAATAATTATAAGAATAGGCAGAAGAACATTAAAGCTGACAAGAGGTTGCATTTAATTTCAGAGGTGTAATTTAACAAAGTAAATATGCTGAGAAGGCATTGGTGTCTAATAACAATAAATAATGTAAGAACTAAGTCAAGAGCTGCACTCCAAATTAAGAGCATGTATATTTGAAAGTGAAATAAACAGACTGTTCTCTTCCTTTCTTGTGTGCCATCAATGTCTAACCCTTTTAATACCTCTTTACAGCTACAACACACACAGGTAAATATTCTTACAGAGCACATCCTATAGCACTTTTGGTGCCATCTCCTGGCTCCTCATTAAGTGCTGAGGCAATGAATATATATGCTTTAATCAGACTAGAAGAGCAGCTAGCTAGCAATGATCAAACATTCTTCTTTTCCTTGAATAATCCTCTGTCTTACAAATAGATCTCTCTCTCCTGCTGACTGCAGGATAGTAAGTCTGAATCCCCACACGCATCCAGTGAGAAATAAAAAAACTCCATGTAAAGAATGGGATAAACATTTACTGCTGGTGGCAGTTCTTCCTCTCCCTTTCCTAGGGGAGTAGTTCCTTTCTATTAAACCACAAGAAATTAACAAGTCAAAGGTTACCACTGCCACTTTATACCTCCTCGAGGTCTTTACAAGAGGGAAGTACCAAATGCCTTAAAGAGGATTTTCTCAGGAACTTTTCCAAAATCTCCATGAAGGAAGCCTGACAGAAAGGCTCCCTCACTCTAAAGTTGTTTTACGAGATCAGTTTAAAACCACAGACCCAAAGGATGTGAAGATTTAAAATCCAGAGGGACTGTGCAACCACAAGCACTCAGATCAGATGCTGTCCTCTCTGCCTTACAATGTAGGGCTGTTTTGCAGATCCACATGAGTATTTTTGAACAGGTGGGATCCCAGCTCCAAAAAACACTTTTTAAAAAGGTGAGCCTGGGCACTGCTCTTGGGATTATTTGTGCCTTTATCACTAAAAATCCAGCAGCACCAGCATCTGCCACCCCTCTAAATGTACCCTAGAAACAGAATCCAGGACTGAATTCATCCTGGGAGACAAAAACATGGTGTTGTTTATGTTCAAATATTTGTTTAAACAGGGGAAGCCATTCCAGGAGTTCTGGTAAAATTTAGGTCCCACTTCCTTTGAGCTATGATATTAGCAAACCAATGCTGGACAGTCTCCCATGGTCACTACAAACTGCAAGATCAGGGTCATCCCCCTGTTGCTGCTGCTCTAGAGAGACAAAAAAGAGGCAGAATAATGTAAGAGGTTCTTATTATATATAACTCTTAAGAGTTATTACACAACTGTCTGAAGACCTTCTCTCTCCAGCAGTCAATGAAATATGAAGCACACAGGAACTAGGATAGCTTATTCATGAACAGTTTAATTTAGCTCATGCACAGCATTAGAGAAATATTTGAATACCAGCAGTGCAAAGTTACTGGAAAAAATACTGCAAAATAATGCTGGAAGCATATATGTGAAGAAAAATCTCAGCTGCTGCCAGTTATGCCCAACATATTGTTTGTTTTCCTAAAAATAAGAGTGAAGCCCAGGCACAATATGGCTATTGGAAAGGATTTGTCATGTAAGTGCCACTGCAGACATTAATTCCTCAGCCACAAGAAAATCCATCCTGAAATCAATTAGTAAAGCAATTTCTAGAGTTGAAGCCTTCCATAAAAAATAGAGTATAAACAGCTTTTTTAAGTCTCTAGCTAATCAAAAGATTTGAGTAACTATAGCCAGTATTAATAATTCTTGAAAACAGGCAAAACAAATCAAGTGTCTCCTGCAAAGGAACAGCAGACAATAAAAGCACTAACTGAAGCTATCAGTGGTAGCCCAGCAGCCTGATACCTAGAGAGTTCTATAAAAATTTTCATTAAGAGAGATAAAATGTACAGTTTTCAGTGGGGACTAATAATTTTGAGACAGCTCCCAGGGATCTAACATAAAACAAATATGACCATTAAAGGAGAAAAAAATTTAAAAGCATCTTCTATAATTAAAGCCAGCTCACCTCCACCTTAAATAGCACTAAATAAATGTTCCTATACAAACCAGCACCTGGCCTAGCCAGAGCACATGAAAAAAATCAATCTCCTAAAAATTTGCCTTAAAATATTAGAAAGCAGAACAGACTAAGTAAAGTAAAGGAATTACAAGAGAGCTTCCCAGTGAATTAAGACAATTCAAAGTGGAGCTCAATGTAAAAAATAGAATATACACTATGCAGTTCCAAGAAAAATGCTTACTTTATTGCTCCAAATATTATTTTTCTTACTTTTGTGTTTGCTTCATGCCCCCTAACAGGAAAAAAATAAAAAAAGCAACTTTGCTCTTTGAGATGAAGTTCTCAGCTCTTCTCCCAAAGACATAGGTGCTTCTGGTGATAAGATTGGTCACAGAATTCCTACAGAAAAAGCTGGGAAAAGCCCTTTAGATGTCCTGGCTTGGGTATTGGTGGCTCCAGGATGACTTACCTGTTAATGACTCCTCATGAATAATTAGCAAAGCTGCATGGAGGGAACGTGGAGGGAAGGGATTTGCTTTCCCAGTGGACGTTTGTAGCAGAGGTCAGAGCCACTCCACTGACACCTGCACTGCAGTTACTGGAGAGCAAAGTTTCCCTCCTGAGCCACAGAAGCACTGAATCCTTTAGTCTGGAGAAGCCCTCTAAGATCCTCGAGTCCAACCACTCCTCCAGCACTGCTACACTTGCCACTAACCCACGTCCCCAAGTGCCACATCCACATGGGGTTTAAATCCTTCCAGGGATGGGGTCTCCATCCCTTCCTGTCAGTGTTTGACAGCCCTTTCCACAATGAATTTTTTCCTGATATCCACTCTAAAACTGGTTTCCATCGTCTGATCTTCTTTGAGACCTAATCACCTCCTCACAGGGGTCAAGAGCTGATGGGAAGAGCAGCACAGAGGGAGACCACAACAGGAGGTGGTGACACCAAGCAGGGGACACCCAAAGCTGCTGACCTGGAAAACCCAGTGCTGTGCTTCCCATCAGTGATGGGAGAAGTGGCTGCAGCACTGTATGGCACCCACAAAGCAAACCATGGCAGGGTTAAAGCCTGATGAACACATTTCCCTGTTGGCCTCTGCTCTTAAGCAACCAGAGCTGCTTTACAGCAGAGCCTACTCCCTGTTCCACTCAGCATTGCTGTGAGCTTAAAATAAATACTGTCCTTTTTTTCAGCCCTTCTGCAAAGGACATCTCTTCTTCCCACACCTGCAAGCAATCAGTGCAGACTGATTGGAGCCTGAAATCATCGGATGCAGGGAGAGTATGCATCTCTCCCCAGCACCTAGGCTGGTGGCACAGGGAGCCAGCCAGCATCCCAGCAGGCACCAGAAAATAACAGGAAGGGCTCTGTGTCCTAGAGGGGCACTCCAGCAACATGGCACCTTCTTACAAGCTGAAAAACCCAAAACTTCAAAACTTATCAGAAAAAGATAATTCCTAAAAATATCCAGCTGCTGGGGAGTTTCTCTGTGCTCTGCCCATGACAGATTCCTCCAGTCTCCAGTGACAGACATATTGCCCAACACTGCAGGATGATTTAGGTTTTCTGTAGATCACATTTGCCAGGGTTGCAGAAATATCACCACCCTGAGGGGGAGACCTGTTTGCTAAATGCTGTTCCCTCACTCCCTCTTCCTCTACGTCAGTTTTAATTTGGGAGATGGAAGTAGTTCAAACAGGAAACAAGCCCTTGATTGCAGTTGATTTTACAGTTCTCAGAGACTCTTTTACAAACTCCTACAGCTGCTGCTGCAGCTGGAATTCACACATCCCAGTGGTGGGATGTGTGATGGCTCTGTGGGAAGCAAAGGTTTCTTCCACCACGTTGTGCCCGGCAATTAATTTGAATATCTCTGACTTCTTATTCAGCAGCTTCTGAGTGCACTCAGTAATCTCTGTGCATTCAAGAGCTTAAGGTCTCATGGAACTGCATCCTCACATCCACCTTCAGGGCTAGGTTTTTGCATAGACACTTGAGGCAGACACAAACCCCTGCTCCCAAAATGTGCATCTTCACACAGTGCAGCAGGGTTGAAGCACCAAGTGTGTGCAGAAGCCCTTCCAAAAACATCCAACTGTGTCACAACCCAAAATGCACAGTTGTTGGGGCTGTTTAGCACATCCCAGTCCCTGAAAATTAAACTGTGCTGTGCACAAGGCAAAGGTAGAGAGACAGAGGCGTCCTTGACCTGTGCAGCTTAGGATGGTCTGGAATCTTCTTCCGCCAGCACATCCTGCCCTGTACCTGACAGTGCTTTTCCACACTTCCCTCATTTCAGCCAAGTGCTGACAGGTCTGTTGCTCTGTCTTCCAAAAATCTCTGCTCTGCAGAACCACTCAGCCAGAAATCGGGGAGAGATTTTTGTCTTTGGAGAAAACAAAGAAGTCAGAGGTGATGACAAACTGTCAGCCAGCGATGGTTTCTTACTGTAGCCAAGTGAGCTTAATTCACTTGTGCAAATTAAATCACATTAAGGACATTTTCCCTTAGCAGAAACTGAGTTATCCAACAGATAAGACATTTTGTTGTTTTTTTCTTTTGCCTACCCCAAGATGTGCATCTTTACTGTGAATGGATTTATACCTGTTTGTGCTTGTGTATGAAAATGTCGCTCTGCAGTACTGCTTGCATAATCACCCACAGCCAGAGTAACTCTCCCTCTATCCATTCCTCTATCCATATTAATTTTCAGT